TGTGTGTTGCAGCCATTTGTGTTGAGTCGTCGTAAGCATATCAGAGAGACAGAGTAGGCAAATAAATTATAGTATAGGCTGTACTGTGTGACTGTCAACTGTGCTGTCATTTTTCGATTAAGCTCACGGGCAGGGTGCTCCTTACCATCTTGTTTTGGTTTGCATTGTAACTGTAATGTATTGCTTATATTGTAAAAGCGCTGAGCAAACTGTTGGCGCTATATAAATCCTGTATTATAATAATTTAAAGGAAAGCGGTCATGAGGGAAACATGGAGGCTTCCATTGCCGACCTTTGCTTCTGAAATGCTAGTTGCTTGGCTTTCATGCTGACCCTCATGTTTCAGTACTATAAATAACTGTCCAAGAACAAAGCACCCAGATAAGGACACTACTGGCCTAGCAGCACAGTTGCTAACCTCTCTTACAAATGCCAATTGCCTGGATTGTCACGTTGATCTTATGGCTTCAGTGGTTTTTGAGACACTAGCCTGGCAGTTCTGAATTTCTAACCTGCATGCTTGTTTCAGGTCGGAGATTCAGACAGTAATAGAGCGTTTCCATGATAGCAAGGGCATACTTAGAAATAATCAATGAAAAGCCCTTATTTCTTACAGTACAGGTTTATGGTAACACTTTCACATGAACCATTGTTTGGTGTCAGATTCCAAGCTAAACCTTAGTGCAGGATTGCCATCTACTGGGCAGTTGAAGGAAAGTGGACCTTTGTTTTCTATCGTAGCTGGTGCTAATGCAAAACTCAAGCTGCTGTTCTGTCTAGAGAACATGTTAACAAATTAAGTTTATTTAACAAAAGCGCAGCAGTACCCCCGCCCTTCCAAAAAACACTAAAACCCTCAAAAAATAGTTCTTTGTTATATATACACACAACATGCACATATTTAAAGCCTAACTAAATTTCAGTTAATATCAACTAAATACATATCAGGTGCATCAAAACAAAATGTGTGGCATACACCTATTAGATTATCTGCAGATTTTCTAGGGTCAGATGGAAAAAGTGCAACAGATTTCTCCAGCTATGCTAAACTGTGTGGCTGGAGGAATCTCCCACTGGGCCAAGGTTCAGTATCTTGCTAGTCGGCCCCGCTGGCTGTCACAATACCTGCAACAAATCAGATTGTACAGGTATTTGGAGAGCCAGCGGGGCCAACTAGCAAGATACTGAAGCTTGGCCCAGTGGGAGATTCCTCCATCCATACAGTTTAGCGTAGATGGAGGAATCTGTTGCACTTTTTCCATCTGACCATAGAAAACCTGCAGATAATCTATAGGTGTATGGTCAGCTTTACAGTTCCTTTTCTAGAAAGTAGGAACAGCTGGAGTAAAAAAGCCTGTCTTCTGCCAGAATGCTCCAGAGAAGTATCCATGCGTCCTGTGAGGAAACAGCAGTCTCTTGTAAAGGTCCAACATACCCCCTGCGGAGTCAGAGCTACTTAATCAGCAGGGAACGTGAGATTTGCTGTTTGCAGAGCTATAGGTCTGACTTAACAGAGAAGGTGTCTGACCACTGCTTTCATGCAAAAGTGTCTTTTTTTCTAAAGAAAAACAAACTAAGAACGCCTTCAGAGGAATTCAATATTGTGTTTGTGCCAAAACTACAGAAGGAAATGTCTGTGCCAAATTCTAAAACATGGCTGCGCCATTGTCCAGACCTCTACCAACCCCATGCACAAAACCCCCACCCCAGCGCCTCCACCATGCCCGGGACCGGCATGACACGAGCGTCGGTGGGAAGCAGGGAAGGAAACCGATCACCTTGCTGAATGGGACGGAAGCAATACTGATTGCATCACTTCTGGTCCCTCAGCTGTCATTGCTCGCCTGCAGAAGCATACTGCACTCCAATTGCTTCTTTGGAGTGTTAAGGTAACACTAAGATTCCATTAGATCCCCAGTGTCACCTTAAAAAATACCTGTCACCACTAGTATGCCATCGCATAGGGGGCTTGTAAACCCCCTTATATAATGGCAATTAAGTTTTAAAAAAAAACAAAATTTAAGTCTGGCTCAGACACCTATGTGACACTGTGGTCAGAGATGTGACCCATCTATGTGCATATATATCTACCAAAGTTTGCCTCTCAAGCCAGCACCAGTTTCATAGGTTTGTGCCAAATTCATGATGCTATGCAGCCTTGTACATAAATTTGGTGCAAAGAACAACATTATTCCTGTAACCCTGAGACACTTTTCTTATATGTCTCAACCGCACTGTTTTTGGATTTCCCCGATTATGTTTTGATGCACCTTGAACGTATTTAGCCAATTTAAAATGAAAGTTCAGTTGAGCTTTCAAAAGCGCTGCGCAAACTGTTGGCGCTATATAAATCCTGTATAATAATAATATTAGTAATAGCATTTTATACGTGTTAAAAAAGAAATGCAAACATAATACATTCCAACACTTTTTCCACAAAAAGTAACAGAAGACAATTGTTTAGTTTTCATTGTGTTTATTTTAATCTTTTCATTGCATTGTAACAACAACATAACAAGTGAGCAAGCATTACACAGAAGCAAGAACACGTGGGACAGTTCTAGGAATTTTCAGATATTTTCTGTCTTCTGGATTTCATGTGTCACCTAGCCTAAAGTAAGTTATTGGAGGTTTCTCAGGCCATGCCAGGTCTACTGTACATGCGAGTGCCATAAAAAGATACATTTCTTTGGCTGATGAAACAGTTTTAACAACACAGTAATACCTTGGTTTACAAGTAACTTGGTTTGAGAGCGTTTTGCAAGACAAGCACGCATTTCTATTTTAAATGAATATTTTTGGGTTGGGGAACGAATCATCTGAATTTCCATTATTTCCTATGGGGAAATTTGCTTTGATATGCAAGCGTTTTGGATTACAAGCATGCTGCCGGAACGAATTATGCTCGTAAACCAAGGTATTACTGTATCACATTTTAAAAAGTGGGGTGCCATTAAAAAAAACCAAAAAAAACAAACACATTAAAAAAGGCATTTAATGACTAACCAGACAAGGAAGGATAGGAGTGGAATTAGCATAATAGAATCTAAAAGGAGCAGATCAACAGTCCAAAGTCAGATCTATAAACTAGAAGAGCAGGGGACGAAGCAAAGATTTCTGACATACCCCAATCGAAAGAGAAGAGGGGAGCAAATCCACACAAGAAAGCAATGCAAATTCCATCCACATTCCTTGCTCTGAGCAAACAGAGCTCTACAAAACAAACTCCCCAATTTCTATAGGATTGACCAACAATTCTATACAAATATGATAAAGTGCTCTTTCCAGGACGCTCGCCTCTAAGCAACTGCAATACCGTAGATGATCAGACTGCAGACATTCTACAGTCGTGGTTAATAAGGACCTACTGTCAGAGATTGTCAAACACTAGTGGCATGTTACAAGCAACCGCTGGAGATCAGAGCCATTACAGTCAGCGCTCACTAAATTCCTGGTAAAAATATATTACCACCGTATTTGAAATTGCTCTCAGTAAGCTGCGTTATAAAATACTAAAAGAAAAAAAAAATACACAATAGAGAAAAAAGAATGGACAGCAGAGCAAAAGTAAGGCCTTGTGCACAAGGGGGCCGTACATGTAAAATTTGGAGGAATTTCCCAGAAAGCCACAGATGCTGCATACAGCCAACCATAGACACCAATGTTTGTACACAGCTATATGGTGGGTATGCGCCAGTACTTTCATAACCTAGCCCAAACGTACCAATATATGCTAGAATGCAGACTGTGTTCAGAGCATACATCTGTACGCATGCACCAGTTTACAAACACACTGGTGTATCCTGGCCATAGATCCATTGATTTCTATGTAGGGCTGCAAGCAACTAATCGATAATGAGAATAGTTGTTAACTAAAAAAAAAAATATTAAAAAGGTGGGAAAAAAAAAAAGTCATGTTTGGTTTTGACCAGACAAATTCTGCTGTGGGAGGTGCGTTGCAGTGTCAAATATTTCAAGGACACCCCAAACGCACCTCCCACCCACATTGTGATCTCCCACATTGGAATGCATGGTACCACAAAACATTCCAGTGTAGTGCAATTACAAAAAAATGTGCATGCAGTTTTATTCTGAAGTTAAATTTGTTTGGAACACTCCAAATGTGTATTATTTTAAATTAAGGATGGTATTTAATATTTTTTTATCCGATCAAAAAATTAAAAAGCGGCCAATAGATTATGAAAATATTCATAAGTTGCAGCCCTACTTCTACGGCCAGCCATACACAGCCCCTGTAGCTTCCCGGGAGGGTAAATACACCCAAATTTTACATGTACACCCCCCACCATGTACTCAAAGCCTAAGTGTGAAAGATCTTATCTAGCTACTAGAATCCAGGTACATGTTTATTTCCTTCGTTGTCCCTAAAAAAAGCACCTAGGTAAAGGAAAACACTGACCACTGCCTGGTAGAGACCGAGGGCCAGACAGTAAGTGCTGAAGGGCCATGCATGACCCCTGGGCCACAGGTTGGGCACCATGGTGCAAGGCGTATAGAGGAATGTGAAAGGTCAACTAACCAATAATAGAGATCTTGAAGAGAAGGGATATCCTAAAAAGGACATAGTACAGTGTAATGTTACACAGTCCACAGCCTGTGCAAATTAAAGTCACATGAAGCAGGTTAGTAACACGGATAATTACCAGGTCCGGGCCTGTGGTGAACTATGACAGCCCTGTGCATTAATATGACACTTCCCAGCTGTCAGGCTGTGTTCTATATACACACATGCGGGAAGCACAGCACTCCATGCAGGCAGAGCACGGCCGCCCTCACCTTCACATTCAGCCGGAGAAGACCATGTCACCGGTAGAACACACAAAACACCAAAAACCAGCCATCCCACCGCCATCCTTACGTCTTCTAACCAGAGAGCAGCCCCCGTGACGACGACCGCTGACGTCATATTCAGTGGACAGCTTCAGGAACCGCCCCCTTCGATCAGTAGGTTTGTACGGGTTTCCATTGGCTGGACAAAAGCGACAGAGCGCGCAATGTGATCCTTTATCTGCGCTCTCATTGGCTAGGCACATTCACTGTCCTGTCATCTCATTGGCTGGAAAGGGTTTCTGTCTGCCAAACACCGGTATGGCGGCGATCGGTGTGCATTTGGGGTGCACGTGTGCGTGCGTGGCCGTGTATAAGGTAAGGGGAGTCAGAAATCGTGTGGGGATTGGTTGTCGCCGACACGTGTTCTGGATTGACTGAGGTTAGGTGTTCATTCACATGTAGCGTGCTTCACATACACAGTGCATTGGAGGATCTGGGCTTATTCATTGATCAATGAACATGTAAAAATCCCTGTAACCCATAGTAACTACATTTCACCGGATGTTACGTATGATTCATTGCTGTGGGCAATGTACTTTGCTCTCTATGCTATTAAATCTCTATACTATTAAATAACCCTGCAACAGTGATGTAGACCAGCAGGGCCACAGTGTAGGCTATGCCAAGAGTCCCTGTACTACCATAGTGCACACGCACAGTAGGCTTACTAAATTGAGTCGCACGCTGTACCCCATCCTCCATTTAGAAAAAAACCTTTGCATTCTTTTCAATGAATGCATAGTATTCTGTGATTGGAGGAGGTGCAGATAAATGTTAGCCTCACCTCCTCCAATCACAGAATGCCTTGCATTTATCTGAATGGAGAATGAGGTACAGCGAGTGACTCACTGCAATCAGAATAGCCAGAAATTGAAATCCCGGTGCTGGATGCTTGGCAGCGACAGCACAGTGCAGGCTCAATGCTGGCCATACACTGTGAATTTTGGCTGGTTTTTAAAGCACCAGGTAAAATTTGCACAGTGAGTGCCACTGTGGGTACCCTTTCGCTGGGCATCCCTTGATCAGCTGATCGAAAGAGCCGGTTGGAAAATCTTTGAAAGAACGGCTGCTGTCACAATACAATGAAAACAGCGGGAAATTTCTCGATCAATGCTCATAAGCGTTGATGGAAGAATCTGTTATATCTTCTTCGTTCAGCCCGCAGGTTAAACAAAGAAAATATTACATTGTATGGGCAGCTTGAGAGATGTAACAAATTCTGCAGCAGCCAGAGATGGGGCACATTTCATCATTGGTGATTTACTATTACTGTGCTAATATAGAAACATAAAATTGGCGAGAGCTCCAAAGCTGGCCATACGCTATACAATCTGATTCTACAATCTCTGCGCTATGTCATATAAGGGCAAACCTAAACGGTTCATTGAATTCGTATCAGATCAGGCAGGCCCTTGCACTACATAGTTGATGTTAGATCTAAAGGAGATTGTACAATTAGGTTGTATAGTGTAAGGGCACCTTAAAGGGATTCTGTGCTTTGCTCCCTTCCCTCTTCCACTGCTCCATTTTCTGTCAAGAGGAAAGAGGAATTCCAGGTACAACGGGGCATGTGACTCCCTCTCCTTTCTTTCATGTGTTGGTACAGTTTCTGATTACACATGGGAACAGGAAGAAAGAACTCCACCCTGTGTAAGCATCAGTTCGGATTGACTTGGAGTTCCTCCAGCACAGGGAAAATATAAGATGCTGTGGTGGCTGGCTTTAAAGTGATACTAAAGTCAGGAGATGCATTTAAAAAATACACTCAAGCACCCTAACTATTAACTCAAATTGTATATTTTTTGTGTATCACTCAGCTGTAGATCCTCAAATCATCTCTGAATTGGTGCTGACACTTCTGGAGGGTGGCTACATTTGTTCCCCATGGTCTCTGTGTGCGTTGTACAGTAGACATTGCTCCAAGCTCACTCCTGTGATGGATTACAATCTCACGTTTAGATTACTAATTTGTATTGAGAATGTAGTCCATCAGAGGAGTGAGCATGGAGCTGTGACTACTTTACAGCACACACAAGGACCATGAGGAACAAAAGTAGCCACCCTCAATAAGGAAGGACAGTGTCGGCACCAATTCAGAGATGATTTGAGGATCTACAGCTGAGTAATACACAAATAAGATACATTTCTGTTAATAGCTAAAGTACTTGACTGTATTTCTGAAATTTAACTCCGGAGGTTAGTTTTACTTAAAAATAAAATCTATAAAAAGCTGCCTAGAAAAGGAGACTTTTAACACTTCCCTCTCATCAAGAGCTGCAAGGACAATCTTCAGAATCTGCCACCAATGGACCTTTTGTTACTGCTGGTTCCCAGTTCCTCAGTGTTTTGCTCATAATAGCCTAATGCCATGTCTTTCTGTACCTTTCCAGGATGGTCGCGCTGACGTGGTCGCCAATGATGCCGGTGACAGAGTGACGCCTGCTGTTGTCGGATTCTTGGAAAATGAAGTGGTAAGGAAGTTGTCTTTATAGCTTCATTCATGGCACAGGTTCAGCTGATAACCAGCTAAGATTGGCTTGTTCTTTCCCCATTTTATCTCATCAGATTGTTGGCTTGGCAGCAAAGCAGAGCAGAGTGAGAAATGCAGCAAACACTATTGTGAAAGTGAAACAGATATTGGGCAGGAGGTATGTTGGAACTTTTTCTTACAGTTGGGTGGCATTTTAGGGCAGGTTCACATGATTTGCCTTAGGCTGAGCTGGCCATCGCAGTCCCAGCACAAAGACAAGACAATTTGCCGTGTCCTATGATGTCAGTTCACACCACTGCACTGTGTTGTTTGTTCACCTTTTCATTGTTGTGAAAAGTTGAACTAACCCTTTAAGGAATGGGACCTTTCCTTGACACAATAGGCTTCAGTATGTTCTGTGCCAGCTGTAATTTTACACAGAAACATAATCTACATGGCTGCTGGTTTCATCCAGCTCAACCTGTAAACTTTCTTTGCTTGTGGATACTTACAGCCTTATTTGAATTTATAAATAAACTGAAATTAGTTGTTATGAGTGTCTCTACTTTTGATATCCTCTAACATGTTTTGTTTCCTTATTGCATTGAAGCTTTAAAGACCCACAGGCTCAAAAGCACATCTCTGAAAGCAAGTGTTCAGTAAGTTAAAATAATTGTTATTTTCACTTGGGTCATTTCAGATTTTGTTTGGATGTCTTGTTTAAAGCGGAACTCCGAGCAAAACTGTTTTTAACTCTTGCAGTGGGGCTACCCCAGCACTGCAAGGGTTAAGTGCTCGTTTTTGTTTAGGTGCTATACTCACCCAAACCTCGCGGCTGGCTGTTACTGCACTCCATGCATCCTGTCTCCTCCTATGCTGCCGCGATGCTATGTCCTTTAGGGTCCTCGCATCCGATACACCGTATATAGAACATGATGACTCAAGGATTCTTAGACTGCTGAAGTGGAGGTGGAGCGAGGCGTTAGACCTTTGAGCAAACTGGCTCAGAGGATTAGGTGAGTATAAAGTAGGCTATATATGCTTTTAATTTCTGCTGGTTCTTGATGAACTGGCTAAAAGTCACTATGTGGGTGCCACTGTTGGCACCCTTCTACCCGGACAGCTTTTCGATCAGCTGATCAAAGCAGCAGGTTGGAAAAAATTCTCCATCGAACAGAGCTAGCAGCCAATCAGCTGGCGGCCAGTGTCAGAATACACAGAAAACAGTCGATCTATCGAAATCTATCTATGATCTTAACTGTTACTGGAGGAATCTATTATATTCTTTTTGTTCAGCACACAGGTTGACTGAAAAAAAATAGAATCGTGAATACCCAGCCTAACTTTTTTTTTATTTTAGTACCTAGACAAAAATGAGCCCCACTGCAAGGGTTAGGGACACCCGGAGATCTGCTTTAAATATTTCTAGGGTTGGTGGATATGCATGCTTGGGCTGTCGTGCTTATCATTTCTTCTCTAGATGGTCAAGCTTGTGCACCACAATTCACTGGTTGCAAGTTTTTTCAGGGTCAGTACTAAGCTTAAGCTGGTCATACATAGTCAAATCTCCCTCATTAAGCCCAGTGGGCTGAACAAGAGACATTTGATTCCCTTATCCATGCAAAACAGTGTGCGTGGAGGACTCTCCCTTGCTGGTTTTGTATTCAGAAAGCTGCCACCGGCCACTATCAGTTCTTGAACAGTGACTGTATCTAACTGCAGTCGCTTTCAGCCAACAATTTTCTGGCCAGCTCCTTAGATTTTCCAGTTGAAGTTTGTTGAGCTGGGTGGTGATGGCAAGGGCATCCACGGATCGAATTTTGGCTGATTCAGTAGGCAATGGACAAAATTAGATCTGTGTATGGCTAGCTTTACTTCTATGGTGTATATTGATGTAATTAAAAAAAAAAATCTAGTTTTGTTGAAAAATATGATATACATTTGGTGTGAAACAAAGCTTTAATGTTGATTATAAGCACCAGCATTTTTTTTGAAGTTTGTTAGTGGTGCAGAGTTAAATGAAGTTTCAATATGCACTTGAATTCCATTACAGATAGTTGATAAAGCAGGAAAACCAAAGTATGAAATTGATACAGGAGAAACCGTGAAATTTATAAGCCCAGAAGATGCTGCTAAACTTGTCTTCAGTAAAATGAAAGGTAATTCTGACATAGTACTCGATGTTCAATTTATTACACTTTTGTACAACACTCAAGTGATTTTTTTGTTTTGATTTTTTTTGTTGTTGTTGTTGCTTCTTAGAGACCGCCCAGTCAGCTTTGGGATCAGATGTCAATGATGTGGTTATCACTGTTCCTTTTGATTTTGGTCCAAGTCAGAAAAAGTCCCTAGGGTAAGTATAGAAGCAAGCTACTGTAAACTGTGTTTATGCTTTAAACTAAACCTGTCACAAACCTGGGAGATTTAAGCAGAGCATCTGATTTATTTATATAGCACCAACAATTTACACAGCGAATGACAGAGCACATTCACATAATTCTCTGCCCTCAGGCAGCTTACAATCTAAAGTCCTTATGTCACATGCACACAGTCTCGTTTATGACAAGCATTCATATAGTGCCATAAATTTACATGACACTTCACATACATTACATTCACATCAGCCACTGCCGTAAAGGAGCTTGCAATCTAGTGTCCCTATCACCCATGTGCTAGGGCCAGCTAACCTGCCAGCATGGGTTGAAGGAAACCGGAGTACCTGGAGGAAGTCCACGCAAGCACAGGGAGAACATGCAAACTCCATGCAGATAGTGCCTTAACTGAGATCCAAACTGAGGACCCCAGTGCTGCAAAGCAGAAGTGTTAACCACCGATGAAAATGCTCATAAGTGAAAGTTGTCTTCGGTAAAACCAGCATGGCAAAACAATGAGTAGAGCCAGAGATCTGGATAGCTGTAGTGAAATGCAAATCTTGACTTTTTGCCTACCATTTTCTACCTCCCAATCCTCCATAATGGTCCTTTTACCATTATAGAAGGACTTAGGAGAGGTGGGCCCAAGCTTGATAGACAATTCTTAATGACTGTAATGGGAACTTTAAGCTGACAGTTTTAACTCTGTTAGCTATTCACTTTGATTGACTTCTGTATACATTTATTCTACAGGGAGGCAGCAGCAGCTGCTGGATTCAACATTTTGCGTATGGTCCATGAACCTTCCGCTGCGCTCTTGGCATATGGTATTGGACAGGATTCACCTACTGGTAAAACGTACGCCAAGTACTATGTATAGCAGAAATATTGTATTCCTTCTATTTTATGCCTACCCACTGTCTCCTATGCAAAACTACTTTTCTCCAGATAGATTTGTATTCTTCTATAACTACCTTTTAACCTTCCTGGCGGTATTCCCGAGTGTGGCTCAGGGTTAATTTTCAGTACCAGAAGCGGTAACCCCGAGCCACACTTGGGATTACACTGTGCGTCACTTACCTTGTCCACGAGCCCGGCTGTGTCCTCTAGCCGATGCCGGCATCCGTCTTCCGTCCCTTGCGAGCGCCCGCATCGCAGGGGGGCGGAACCGGCGGGAAATTTAAAAGTAGAAAAAAGACAAAAAAAACGAAGATAATCAGACCGCCAGGGAGGTTAATAGAAATGTGTTTTGGTTTTTTTCCTTCTTTTTTTGGTCAAGAAACTATTTCAAGGTAAAAAGGTCCATTTCTCAAAGCATACATGTCCTGAGAATGGGAACATTTTGAAATCTTTAAAATAAGACCCATCTAGATAACTTAAAGATGTGTGGTATCTAGATGGGCATTTGTACAACATAATTTTGCCTTAATTATATTTAATATCACATTTTAAACCATTTCTTTATTGGTTGCAGCAATGTATTGGTATACAAATTAGGAGGAACATCATTATCTGTCACTGTGATTGAAGTGAACAGCGGAATATATCGAGTTCTTGCAACAAAGACTTATGACGACATTGGAGGAGTATGTTTCACAGAAGCTCTAGCCCAATATCTGGCATCTGAATTTCAGAGGTATGGCATGTTAAAATCTTTTGGGTCTGTATGGGGAAAAATATATGTTCTAAGTTAAAAAAATATATAACTTATGTTCAGGAAGCCTCATGTATTTAAGTTTTTGTATTAAGTTCAGATGAGTTCTCTAATCAGATCCATCTTCGACCCTAATAAATGAATGGTTATGGCTCATTAGGGAGTTGTACAACGCAGCAAACAGAAAGCATCACTGCAATTGTGAGAAGCTCTGTAAAATCTTACTGCAGTGAAATACTTAGAACTTGGTTTAAGGTAAAGTGAGCAGACTCCAATGGAAATCGTGATATTAAGATTAAGTGGAAAGATGTATGGTCTTCAAGTATTAGAAGGAAATTTTAGAAGGCCCATCAGCCTCTTTTCCCCTTTGCTGGTGGTCTAAGGACTGCTGAAGTCATCATGTCTAATGCAGGCTCCTCCATTGACCTTCATTAGATGTAAGGATGCTGAGGGACAGTTCACAGCTGGAGCAGAGGGGATATGTGCTTTAGATATATATTTGATTTTTTTCCCTTTCTTTTGACTTGACTTATTTAGTAAAACCATGTTTAATTTCTTTTTTTTTATTTTTATTTTATAGGTCATACAAACATGATATTAAAGGAAATGCCCGGGCAATGATGAAACTTATGAACAGTGCTGATGCAGCTAAACACTCCTTAACAACTTTAGGAAGTTCTAATTGTTTTGTGGATTCGTTGTATGATGGCATTGACTTTGATTGCAGTGTTTCCAGGTAAAATGATCTATTCCTATCCTATAAAAATCTGTTAAGGCGGCCTTTATAAAAATTCAGGACCTACTCTATTTATACATTTACAAATAGAAAATGGAGACAATATCTCCACTTTCAAGTTATTTATAGAAGGGTAAACCTGTTCCTTTACATTTTTTATGTCATGGTATTTGTACAGTTAGCTGTTCTATAACTGTAAGGAAGGTTGCATCATAGTACAGAATAAGTATGTAACACATTCCAGTCACACCTGTAATAATTGTGTTGTCAGTGCATTTGTGGGCAACTGACAATAGCAATATTGGTTGTAGAAATCTTGCGCATTATGAAAATAACAGAGGATGTAAATACTGTGCTAGCCCTGTACAGTATTTGAGCTTGTATATATTTGTAATTTGGCAGCATATCTAGTGCTTTCTCTCTCTCAGCAAGTGATGAGGCTAGGCTTGGCGCAAAGACTTTTTGTCCAAGCTTGCTCAAAACTGTGACTGCCACTGCCTCCTCCTGGCCCAGTCAGTTGTGGAGACATGCATTCCGTGCCCCACACTTATACTGTATGTCACAGCAAGGGTTAAGAAAATGGTCTCCTGGAGTTCTTCTTTCAAATATTTTGTTATTCATTAGCATTTATATTTAACACTGAATAAGGCAACCATCCACAATTTACTAACGTTTGATGCATTTTATCTTACAAGTGCTTTGTTTTTACTGCCTTCTCTTTCAGGGCTCGTTTTGAGCTCATCTGTTCTTCCCTGTTCAATCAGTGCATGGATCCAATCAAAAAGCTTTTGGAAGAGCTAGAATTTAAAGCTACGGATGTGAATCAGGTGTTAATTCTATTTCTTTCTGGTTTAAATGTAATGAATTTAAACTTTATTATCTCTCAGCCAAGTAAAAAACAAAATCTAGCATGTCACTGCAGGGGAATTTTATAATGTATTTTCTAAGAATTCAAGTGAAATCTTTCCTCACTTAGAGCGGGTCTGCACCATAGTTTGATAGCTACTTTGAACCTGGAGACTAGGGGAAGTGTGCAAATCTTGACTTCAGCTCCAAAAATAAAGCTCAGGCCAGTGCCCTCACTCCTCCCAGTCGGTGTGGCTGTCTAACTCTTAGGCCTCATTCACAAAGACCTAGACAGCCATACAGCTTGCATGTTAATGTGGAAAATTGCACATGGGAGTGACAGCTGGTGTGTACAACTCTGACAGCTGGGCTGTGTGACCGGCAGCTAGAGAATGAGTGAGCTGACACTACACAGACTCCAGCTTCTGATGCTGCTAGGCAACAATTTCACACAGGCGCAGTAGGACTCGGAGCTTGTGTCATCCAGCCGCTGTGAAGGAGAATCTGTCAACATAACCGGCCGCACGAGCGGGTTACGAATACGAGCTGACACCCACTCCCACACAGCATTCATCATTCTCAAGGGATGAAGTGCTGAATGTGCACTTTATCAATTTTGACCCCAGGGTTCAAAGCGCAGCAGCTTCCGCATCACAACTCACCCATAAGCGCAGATTTTACAATTCTTTTATTCTCAAGGGATGGTAAGCTGACCAAGGAGTATCCATTCATATACACAGCCTGTGATTTGTTTGCTGGCTCTTTGAAAGTGGTTTATTCTGTATGTTCATACTGTATTTGAATTTGACATGGCGGAATTTGACGTCAAGGAGGTGGGGAAGAACAATTTTGATTGGTTTGCACTTATATTTAAACTTGTCATGTATTATAACACATTGTCATGCCTGATTAAGGGACCTTGAGTGGCCCTGAAACGTTGCTTTATGACGAGATGTGTGTACATCAATAAAATAGCCACTCATTAAAGATTTTACTTTGGTGTGCCAGTGATATACTTTACTATTTCTACTCTATGACAGGACACAACTGCAAAGTTGCATGTCTGTACAGGTAGAGAGTCATGCCCCTGGATGCAGGCAGTCTGCCTATGTTGGGCAAAAGCAACAATTTGGCTTACCAATTGCCCTACCTGCTGCTTATACTCTTTCCATTTATAGCGTGGAGGGTGGCAATGAAGTGAACCTGTAGGTGGGGCCAATAGTTTAACAGTGAAGGTGGCCATACACCTGACGATTATCGTACGATAATCGCGGGAAATCGTGCGACCGTTTCTACTGTGCGGTCGCACGTCTTTTGTCTTACGAGCATGTTTGAAAACCTGCTGAAAATCGTAAGATTTTCGGCGGGTTTGTGGCGTGCTCATAAGACAAATGCCGCACGGGCCGGTGTGCGCAAGCGCACACTGCCCGCTCAGCATTGCCGTCATCGGAAACCCTCCCCTCAGCGAGGCGGGCTTGTGATGATCGCAAGTACGATCTGCCTGTCCAAGATGGGCAGATCGTACAAGCTTTTAATTAGCTTACAACCATGGCAAGACGAAAGTCTTGCCATGGTTGTAAAGTGTATAGCCAGCTTTAGGTTTCTTTTCTAACTATGTTTCATGTTCTGTTCACCGCACTTACCTGAACCAGTGTGTGGCTCTGCCTGGATTTGCGATTGGAAATAGAAGTCCTGCCTGCCACAGTGGAGTAAAAGTGTGGTGATGTGAAGTCCATTTATACTTCCTCTCGTCTCTTAACTAAAAATCTGACGGGCTGAGGAGGAAGAAGGTTCTACAGGAGCATTGCACCTGTGAGCCAAATGCAAAAAAAAAATAACCATAAGTTTTATTAATGTGTGCATGCATTTATATATTTTTTTGCAAACGCTGGACTATCCAAAAGCACAGGTTCTCAATGGTTTAGAACATTTCATTTTTACTTATTAACTGTAGATTCTCTCCATTGTTCTTTTAGGTAGTGCTATGTGGAGGATCTGCTCGCATTCCAAAATTGCAGCAATTAATTAAGGACCTATTTCCAGAGGTGGAATTGTTAAACAGCATACCTTCTGATGAGGTCATTCCTATTGGAGCTGCCATAGAAGCTGGAATTCTGCTTGGTAAAGACAATCTGTCCACAGAACTGGACTCCATTACCATTGAGTGCTCTGCCAGTGACATACTGGTGAAGGTTAGTTTTACTGCTGTGCTTGTAGCCAAAAATGAAGTTCTTTATTCTCTCAAACCTGTTTCTAGCAGGAAATGCATTACCTGCACAAAGTCTGCATGGTACCTAAATACTTTATCAGTGGCTATTAACATGCACCAAGTTTATTTTGCTGTATCTATGCAGAAAATGACCTTTTAGCATAAATAATTTTGCCTAATGATAATCAAGTACAGGGGCTTATTTACAGAAGCTGGGGAAATTGCCCAGGTTTCCTCTTGAGAAAGAGAAATAATTTTGACAGTATCGTCTCAGTTTTTGTAAAGCAACTCAGTAGGATCATTTACAAAGTTTTAATAGGTCTAGCACATTAGCGGTTGATGTAAATATATATATATGTGTGTGTGTGTGTATATAATATAATTATTTCTGTCCCGTTCATTGAAGGACACAGGCAACAGATCGTAGATCCTGAATGGTAGGGTAATATCGCCACCTGCAGGAGAAGGACGCTAGGCACAAAACTAAAGACCAATTACAGCCTAGGGGCGGCCCCTGCCGGTGGCCAAACCCCCCACCTGCTGACAAGTCTCCAGTTTTTTGCCTAGCGTCAGGAGTAAGGAGCTAAAAAAATTTCTCTGGAGAATTTTTTTTCCTTTCTTCCGTTTGATTTGATTTTTCTTCTAGCAAGTGTCCCCAGGGCGACAGGCTGGATGACTGTAGATCCTTGTAGTCTCCCCTGGGTGACCGACGAGCGCATGCAGACTCTGCTACGGTGGGTCGGCTGCGACGGGTGGTCCTCCCCGACGCCTATGGGATTCGTCCCAGGGGGGGGCTCCTGACCGGGGGCTCCGGCCCACCGGTCGCGGCTCTCCCCGCAGGCTGGCGGCGCCGCGGCTTCGGTCGGGGGCGTTCTCCTGCCGGTACCCTGCTCCTCCTGGATCCTGGCGATGGTTCCTGTCTTCCCTGGTGGTATGTATGTGGGGTCTCCGGTGGATGGCCTGAGGACCTGGATCTGAGGTAAGCTGCAGGCTGCACTGTTTCACAGCTGCAGCCTCCTGTGTCTTCCTCTCTCCCTCTTTCCCCCCTCTCCCTCCCTCCGAGCTTATGGTGCTGGCTGGCTCCTGTATAGGCCCCCTCTGGGGGGACCTGGGCCTTGGAGGTACTTGGTGGTGGGTGGGTGGTGCCACGTGGTGGATGCCGCTCCCTGGACGGCCGCTACTCGAGGCCCCGGTCTGGTTGGGGCCTACGGGCGGCTCTGCGGCCGCCGTTCTGGCTCGTTTCGGCCCCTGTTGGGGCTCATGGGGTGGAGGATTGGCCTGTTGTGGGTCCGCTGCGGCCGCCTGTGCAGGGCGGCCGCATCCGCGGCGGACGTCGCATGTGCGGCGGCCGCTACTCGAGGCCCCGGCTTTTGCGGCCTCCAGACGGCTCCGCGGCCGCCATCTTGGATGTGGGCAACTTTGCCCTTTCTTCTCGTGACAACCGCCCGGGCTTCCTAGAGCCTCGGGCGGATGGGGAGTGTCTGCCTCTCGGCTCATGGACGCCGTAGGGGGAGGATACGGCGTGCAGAGCTCCTCCGCTTTGCAGGGTCTGCTATCTGGGCCGGAATAAATGCTGAGGGGATCGCAGGGATGGCTCTCTCCTACGTTGCCGTGTGGGGGTTGTGGGCTGCGCTCTGCGGGCCCCTCTAGACCCCCTCTTTGTGCGTCCTGCGCTGTTTTGCCAATCATCCGTGCGTCCCTCCGGTTCTTCAGGGGGGGTGGGTGGTACCGCGGTACCGCATTGTCCCTGGAATATTTTTCCTCTGCCATGGATGGGTTTGTGACGCGCATGGTGCGCGCCTTGATGCAGCGCCCACCTAGGCAGCGGGTTCTGCCCTTGCCATGACGTCACCTCCTGAGCCGGGTAATTCCTCACAGCCTGATTCGCCAAGTGAGGATGGGGCTGCGTCTACGCTCCTGGTCCAGGAACGTGAATTGGTCTCGGCGCTGGTCCGCGCTGTCAGGGAGACCCTTAAAATGGAGGACGTTGCCAGCACTTCCACGCGGTCGCTCGTGCAGTTTGGGCGCATATGTGTCTGCGTTCTGTCACGGTGTTTCCTTACATCCCCCTTGTTTGATGATTTCATTTCTGAGGGGTGGGAACGGCCTACTGAGTCCTCTGCGTTTCCGAAACGGTTCTCGGTTCGCTGTCCCTTTTGAGGAGGATTTTGTGTCTAAGTGGTCTTCGCCACTGGTGGTGGACCCGCCGGTCTCTCATTTAAACAAGGCCGCGGTTATCCCGGTGGCGAATTCTCCGTTCTTTAAGGATCCTTCCGATAGGAAGGCTGAGGTTGAACGGAGAGAAAAGGATTCTATGGTGAGTACAAAAATCCTATTTTTTTTCAGTACTTGCTGATGCCAAATACCGATACTGGAAGACCCTTTAAGGAAGCCGGGGCAGTGTGTAAAGACTCGCCCCCCCGGCTTTCTGACTAGCCAGGAAGCCGGCTCCATGCTACCTCATCACCAGGTGACGAGGAAGCATGGAGCGCCAATCAGGAACCCGGGTCGTATGTAATGACTTGCCGCCCTGCCTTCTGATACCGGAAGTTCTGGTATCGGGAGCATTTGGGCGAGTACGAGTACTCGCCCAAATACTCTGTATCAGCATCAATACTGATATTCGTATCGGTATTGGTGCATCTCTAATATGAATGATGAGAGACAGATTTCGATCTGCCCCTAATTTTTATCAAGAGTAAAAACTATTATACAAAAAATCTCAAGCAAAAGATTTGCTCAGGTTCTATGTGCTAAGGTCAAATATTATCCTGTACAAAATGGGTAAAATTATTTCTAAATTCTATACATAATAATACAGATGTGCTTTTTTATACCAGAAAAAAACCCCAAAGAACTGTGGGAAAAGTAAAACAAGCAATTGACTATATAAATTGCAAATTTAAGATGCATACAACAAACAAAAAATAGGCACAGAAATCTCCCTGCCAAGCTGTGTAAATTCTTAAAGTATTCTTTTTGGCTCTGACAGCTGCAATAGCTGCAGGCAGAATTCAGAATAAACTGAAAATTGTTTGTGTAAGTGACCCAGGAGAAACTACACAGGAAGGCATAAATCAAAATGCTTACACATAAATCATGGAGTATGGGAAGTGTGCCATTATTAGAATTTGAAAGAAAATGAAATATTAATGTACTGCTTGCATGCTGGTTGTTTTATAGCCATTTATAAGGTAGCGGTCATTCCTGATTTGTCCTAGATGAGCTTTAAAATCATATTTAATTCATACCTAAGGTGCCTGCAGACTTAAAATCATTTTTTACTTTTTCTTTCTGGCTAGATCGGAAAATAGAGGTATGTCTTTGGGAACCCAGACATCCCCTGGCTGACCTTGGAATTTCTTTTGTCTCGTCATTGTTCATAGATCTTGTAGCTGGCTTGCTTCTCTCTCTCTCTCTCTCTCTCTCCTCTCCTCTCCCCCCTCTCTCCTCTCCTCTCCTCTCCTCTCCTCTCCATAGGCATTCACATTCATGCATGGCCGATCCTATTGTGCATGTTTATGGAGAGATCATTTAGTTGTAGAATTGTGGTGGAGCGTTCAACTGTGATTAGATGTTTCTGGATGGCTTTAGGTGGCTTTAAAACAGACCTTTACCCATATATTTAAAATCACAACAAACACACCTTTTAGAAATGTTTAGTAATGACAATCTACAAACGCATACTTCTGATAATTGCCAGCTTTGTGTTTTTTGCATACCTTATTTCTCTTTTCTTCCCCAGTCTTCTGATAGTAGCCATGTTAACTAAGGACAGATTACTAGCTCTCCTATTACTTCCTTGATTTCTGGCACATGTGACTAGGACATGTGACCATGCACATCATCTCAGGGGAGGAAAATGCCTTTCCCTGAGATCTCATGAGATTACAGATGAGATTTTCCAGCAATGCTCTGCTGATAAGGCAATCCCAGTGTGCATTGCGTTGGGAAACTGAAATCATTTTGCCCTTTCAAAGCAGTAAATGAATGCTATGCAATATGTAAGTATTTTAAAATCACAGCACTTTACACCTGACATGTCTATGTTATCATTAATCATACATAGAGGGATGCATTGGTAGATTTTGATTTTTAAGTGTAAAGGTTTGCTTTAAGTATTTAAATTCGGACTAGATTTAACTTCCTGTGTGGGCACAGGAAAGGGATCGTAGTTCATTATCTATCCCGAGTTCCAACACACCGCTCTTTGATAATCTTGATCTTCCGGCAGGGGTTTCTACTGCCCTTTTAGAGGGTTATCACGGCTCCAAGTGGCCTTTGGCCTCTGAGTTTGTAGACCCAGAAGAGGGTACATTTGTTTCTCCATTATCTGCTTCTACCTCTAAGCCCTGCTGGTTGATATATATTAATTTGTGTTCTTTTAGTAAATGTCTGTTCTCCTCCAAGCAATGTCACAGGCCATGTTTCCTACTTTTAAAGTGCAACTGAAGCCAACATATTTATTTTTAGTTTTGGATAGAGTGCAGAGGGATTAGGACACCTGTCAGGTTCTTATTCATGTCTGTATACCCATTGGGGAGATTCATCCTCTCTATTTGTCCTGGTAAAAGAAAATCCCAAATGTTGCTTTGTCATCAGAACGGGAATAGATGGGACATCTTCCAATGGGGACACGGGTTATGGTGACCACCAGGGATTTCCTCTCTTTTTCTGTTGTGGCTATCAGACAAGAAGTGAAGGGAAATCTCCCCAATTGGACACAGATGGTTAAAAAAAAAAAAAAAGAAGCTGACTGGGATATAACCATTTCTTCCTTGATCCAAAACTAAAAAAAAGGTTTGGCTTCAGTTGTACATTTGAATATTTAGATTTAAAACATAATATGGCTTCGCTTTCAGGCTTGTTTGATCATTCACTGTATGAGAATTTGGATATTATCTGAAAATACTGATTCAAAGGGATGTGTAGTAATCATATAGAATATATGTCTTCACAGGAAGCTGACGAGTCAGGAGCTGAGAAGTTCACTCTATTGCTGCCTTCGGGAACCCCACTTCCTGCTCGTAGGCAGCACACATTACAAGCATCTGGAAGCTTAACCTCTGTATGTTTGGAGTTGTACGAGTCTGTTCCTAAATCAAATATATCAGACAGCAGTAAATTTGCACAGGTAAGTAACTTAGATACAGCTTTACAAGGACCTGAAAGATGCTTCTATCTCTGGTATGTTTGCCTGTGGTTGCCAGTGTATAAAGAGTCATTTTACTTCCAAACTGCTGATAGTCATTTGTGCCACAAAAGGTGGTCAACTATCTGTGTGCAGTATGAGCTTGCTGAGACATTAACCCCTTCATGACTGAGCTAGTTTTTAGTTTCTGTTCCTAAATGACTGACACACTTTTTACATTTTTGCTGTGTGATTCTAAGGCCCCATTCACACGGGGCCTCCTGGGATTCCTGCAGGAATCCCAGGTGTCCCCGTTCAGATGTGGCCACTTTACTCATTGAAGTAAATGACAAGGTGACAGTGTCCATGTCTTTAAGCGGCAGTCCACATGTAATCGGTATGAACCGTCGCTGGCCACATGTACGATTACATGCGGACTGCCGCTTACAGATGCGGCCGCTGTCACCCTGTCATTTACTTTAATGATTACAGGGGCTGCATCTGCATGGGGACACCTGGCATTCCTACTGCAGGAATACCAGATTACCCCATTTGAATGGGGCCCAAGATGGAAGCTGCATTATGACAATGATTTGCATCTGTGCATGTAGGATGTTATTATTTGACCATTTAGTTTACTCCTGATGATCCAGATGTTTTGTGTGGGTGTTCAGACAGGGTTAAAAAAAAATACATAGAAAATGCATTGTTTCACATTTCTCAAACACTACCTTGCTCGATTTTGTAGATTGGTAATCTAGAAAGTAGCCACACTCTGAACTACAAACCACAAGTCTGTGTTTGTTAATTCACCTTGGGGGTAAGGCAGAAAAACTGAGCTCCTCCCGCTGCCATGTTTCACTCACACCTATTTGTGCAGTGGGAACTATCTGCTGAGGGGATTTCTTTATACACATATCAGTTAAAACATTAACACCAAAATAGGACACAGCCTTGTGAACACTCCTTCCTCTTAAGCCTAAAATCAAACAAAATTTCAGATGACATTCATCAAGACTCTGATGTCATTATCGAATGTTCTGACGAGATTTTCATGTAAAAATGTGTATGAAAATCTACCATTGTATGGCCAGCTTTATATAATGTATCTGGCTAATCTCAGAATGAAATACTTGCTGGACATTAAACTGTATTGTAAGGTGCAGCTGCCCTCAAACATACTGTGTGTATATGTATAAGATTGATAGATATATACATAGATATATCTATCTCCCCCTCTATGAATGCACTCATTAAGTAAAACGAGTCAGGTGGAGCTCAAGTGATCGTCCTCACACCAGGTGGATTAGTGAACACTGACTTAACACCAGCTTGTATTTCAAAGTGCAGCTACTTTCTGTGTCAGACGGAGGACGAGCTGTGTGAGGTCTATAATCTGGGCCCAGGAGGTGTGCGTGCACCTTTATCTGTAAAGAAATGATTGCAATACAGTTTAGCCATATTTTTTAAACTAAAGTAGGGTGTACACTGTTATATTTAGTTTGTTCCACCTGCGGGCTGAACAAAGAAAATATAACCCATTCCTCCATCTATGCTGAACAGTGTGGATGGACGAATCCCCTGCTATTTACATTGTATTGTTGTATGATACATGTGTTGTACAGCAGCTGCTATAATATGTAGAGAGACCAATACAATGTTTTTTTTCTTTTTCAGATTGTACTTAAAGATTTGCAAAAGAAAGAAAAAGGAGTTCATGATATAGTCACTGTGCTGACAATGAAGAGGTAATGTTTCCTTTTTGTGTTTTGCTGCAAGTTAGGATTTTATGAAATGTCTGTCTGTGTCAGACCTCCTACTCTCCCTCTATGTAAAAAGTATACACAATGGAGGGAATTTATAAAAACTGGAGCAGACAGAATCTGGAGCAGTTGCCTATGGCAACCTATCTGCTTCTCTCTTCAGTTGGTTCTGTTCAGATTTAAAAATGAAAGCTAGAAGCTGATTGGTTTTTCATGCACAGCTGCTCCAGATTGTGCCTGCTCCAGTTTTGATCAATTCTCCTCAGTGACTTTCTGAATTTCTTCTTTTTTCCTCCTCCTCCATTTGATACTCTGCACAGGTATGAATAGCTCTATGGGTCTGTCTCATATATGAGGTGTTTTGGTGAGGTCTTGTGTTTTGGGTTCCATATTTTTCTACCTTCAAACTTGCAGGCTAACAGAGTTGGGGGTCAGAAGTCTGGAAAAGGCCCAGCAACTGTGCAGTTTTAGCTGCGCAAACTGTTGGTACTATATAAATCCTGTATAATAATCTGCTTTACTGGCACATGCAAAGCAAATGTACAAGTTGAATTATTGCTGCATATCTCTGGGTCACACCAGTCACATGATAAATCTGTCTGTTTTATCGTGCGGCTTGTGTCTGCTGGGTGACAGTGATGTTTGGTGGTACCTTGTGTTGTTACAAGGTAAGGCACTTTTAGTTTTTTTTTTACTCTTTATTGGCAATGTACAAACCGTACACTCCATTTCAGGTCTTCGTACAGGAGCAAGGTGATCTGCTCTGTAGTGTGGAATCCAATGCGCTGCGAAAGACTAAAACTTGTCTCCATTTTTTTTTTTTTTTGCACCACACATCACCCTAGTGTTATGTGAACAGGACACATAGAAAACAATAGTTTAATGTTTTTTTTTGTTTTTTTTTCCCTTAGCGGTGATTGACATTGATCCAGTGCGGAAAAATGCCAGTCACCAGAAAATGGTGTGAACAAACCCTTAAGGCCCTGTGTATTTATAAGGCAAGGCTGGGCGTACGTCTGCTCAAAAGAGCTTCTCATTTGCTCGCCATTGTATGTATTAGGGATGTACAGATACTATTATCGGTGCCGATACCGAGTATTGGGCGAGTACTCGTCCCAAATGCTCCGATACTTTCCCCGATACCGGTACATATGGTCAGAGGAAGACCCTCTGACAGTGGAAGCTGGCTCCATGCTGATTGGCTGGAAAACCATAATCGCAGCCAATCGGCATCGAGTCGCCCAAATATGGAGCCGGCTTCCCGGGAAATCGGGAAGCCAGGCAGCGTGTCATTACCCGCTGCCCAGCTTCCTAAATTGCCCGGGAAGCCGGCTCCATGCCAACGGAAGTGCCCGCACCGCAAAATATCGGCGCTCATACTCGATATCGAAAAACCAGTATCGGTGCATCCCTAATATGTATACTGGTTTACCTTTTCTATGTATAAAGACACCTGGAGTTCTTGTGAAAATGCTGTTTTTAGATGTTTAGAAATATGGATGCTTCCAGAGATTAATGTGCTCTGTTAGCATAACATTAGCATCTATTATGCCATTGCTATCCTACCATTGCTAGAGTTAAAGAAGAACTCGGGGCAAAACTTTTCTTAACCCTTGCAGTGGGTCTACCCCCGCACTCTAAAGGTTAAGTGCTCATTTTGGTCTGGGGAGAAAGATGATTATTATTATACATGATTTATATAGAGCCAACAGTTTGTGCAGCGCTTTACAAAACTGAGGGAGACCATACAGCTAACTATACAATTTCAGTACAGGAGGGTAGGGGGGCCCTGCTCACGAGAGCTTACAATCTCTAGTAGAAAATAAAAGTTATACTCGCCTGATCCTCTGAGCCAGCTTGCTCTTAGACCAGTCCCTGGACCCTCTCTCTCTCCACTACAGCGGTCTAAGATCCCTGAGTCTTCACACTCTATACAGTGTATACGCTCAGGGACGTACCATCACTGGAGCTTAGGAGAGAGGCTGGAGGGAGCGCCGTCACAGCCAGCTGGCTCGAAGGATCAGGTGAGTATAACTATATTTTCATCCATAGACTGAAACAAGCAGTTAATCAAACATTTGCCTGGAGTTCTTCTTTAAAGAATAAGTGCAGTTCCCATTAAAAAGCTTCATATGCCCTCCTGATAAAATAATGTATGAGAATACAGATTTCAGATTTGTATAGTCTCTCACTGCCCCCTGGTCTGTGTAGGCCCAGGCAGCCTTTACAAATCCTAAAAGCTGACCATTTCTGCAACACTTGGCATGCACCAGCTGCACGGCAGTACATAGGTTCCCCCTTCCAAGAAAGATGTAAACATTGCGCCATCTTACACATGCCAGGGCAGCGAGATGCCAGCCAAACTTGAATCTATAGTCCAGGGGTAGTAAACCTCCGGCCCTTCAGCGGTGGGGAAACTACACATCCCATGATGCATCTCTCTTCGGGAGTTATGTCTTTGGCTGTGAGAATCTTGCAATGCCTCATGGGATTTGTAGTTCCACAGCTGGAGGGCCGGAGGTTTGCTACCTCTGCTATAGTCTGTGCTCACATGGATCTATATGAATGCAACATATGGGACTTTAGAAACATACAAACATTGACATATACAGAAATAAACTTTGTGCCTCACTTAATAAATCTGACACCCACAAAAAGTGCAGCATGAGAATAAGCACCATCGGCACAAAGGAAATATATGAATTTACATAGGCCGATTTATATACAGCGACGTTTAAGTCTAGCAGACTACAGCAGTATATTGATGATGCAGATTTGTTTTCAGTTCTCATCCGCTTTTCTTTTTTCCCCAGGGATGGAGCATTACATGTAACTTGCACAGACAAAGACACTGGAAAATCGGAGATGATCACCGTAGAAGAGTCATCTTAATGGTTCCTAATAACCATCTGTCATTCCACATAGAGAACGGGATATTTTGGAAGACGCCATTAGCAGCAATAGTGCACAGACCAAGAAGCTTGCAGTGAATGGTGCATCCATGCTCCTTGTTATACTTACAAATGCTGCAACCAATATCTGAAAGTCATATGGTCAAAAGAGAGATGTACAAGGGGTTCTGCTGGCCCTTTCAGCTTCTGGAGATATTTCAGTATTCATGTTGTAGGACATAGTTTTCATAGAGAAGTATAACCTAAACGGTATTATTTTCCTATGTGTGAATGTTTCCACAAGGCACGAGAGCGATATTGTCCTTGACATGAGCTAGGCTATTGCACATAAATTATTCGTCTTTCATTGAGATTCAGATTTGTCCCTTACAAATCCTGTAGGGCAATAAATAGTCTTGCATATTTCTGTTATTGAAGACCTTTTGTGTGTGTTCATTTTCTAAAACCAGACTCATCACCATTTAAAGTTGCTGTTTCTTTTCTATTTTTATAGGAAGACCCTTTTGTTGACATTACACAGTTATGTGGTTTATTTAAAGGAGAACTATGAGGTGAGTGATTTCCACTCCTCATAGTTAGGCTGGGTTCACACTTGGGCGTTGGTAATATGCGCATTTGGGGCTGCGTGTTTTTACCGCGATTTGCGGTCAATGAAACGCGCGTTTACAAGGGCTACCCGGCTGTATCCTAATGGATACGCGTGGAAATACGCCCCAAAGAAGCTCCTGTACTTCTTTGGGCGTTTGTCAGCGCGTTTCTACGCACTGAAATACGCCCAGGTGGGAACCATGCCCATAGGAAATAATGGGATTTCACTTGCTGGGTGTTTTTACAGCGCGTCGATCAGCGCTGTAAAACGCCCAGGTGTGAACCAGGCCTTAGAGCCGACCTGTGACAAAGAAGCTGTCACAGGTCGGCTCGATTGATCGGGAAGTGAGCAGAAACATGCCGCTGATCCGCTCACTTCTTGATCGTCTCCAGCGCTGAGTGGAGGAGCGAACAGGCAAGGGGGCGGGCACAGCTGGCTCTCACGCAGCTGGGTGGATCTCGACAGTATTCTAGCCCGCTATATACTGAGCTTTGGGGTCACGGGAGGATGCTAGTATATGTCCTCACGTGACCCTAAAGAGAACTATGGGGAAAAACACTTGCCCCATAGTTATATGTTGGCTTTTACTATTTAAAAGATATCAAAACCTATAATATTTTGCAGTTTCTTTAATGTCTACTATTGATCATTATAGTGTTTTAGTTTACACTAACTGATGTATGCATGGTGCAGTGTACACCCACACAATCTGTAAGAAGCAGTAGAGTGGAGCTAAGGGCCAGGGTATTGTATCTATATTGTGCATGGGTGGGAGGTGCATAGTCACTTGCGGCAGAATGAGGAAGATGCGGACTGGTTAAGAAGCTTAAAGTGACACTAAACTCAGCACTTCAATCTTATAAATACATTCAAGCACCTTAAGTATTAACAAAACTCTATCTTATTTGTGTATCATTTGGCTGTATCATCTCTGAATTGGTGCTGACACTGTCCTAACTTCTGGAGGGTGGCTACTTTTGTTCCGCATGGTCCTTGTGTGTGTTGTAAATTAGTCACCGCTCCAAGCTCACTCCCATGATGGATTACAGTCTCGCGTTTAGTTTACCAATTTGTATTGAGATTGTAGTCCATCACAGTAACGAATAGATATCTTGTTGCACACCTTACCGGACACAAGCAACCTGATAGACAGGTGGGTGCTTGCAGAGACCACGGATGGCACCGTGAATAAACTGCATTTGTAGAAATGTCACCAGCACACCTGTATTCAGTGAAATAAGCAAAAGTCCATTTATTGACGGAATGGAGAGATGCTCAGTATTCCCTGATGTGATAGGTGGGTGCTGGAGGGGTTTCCTTCCCTCCTGGGTTGATTCTGGTCCGGTTCACCCTGCCGGGCTTGTCCCCAGTTGTAGGTAGGAATCCTTCTGGTGCTAAAGCCTTCTGGTGGGGATGGGGCTGCATTTGTCTGGCCGGAGAGCGGCCGAGGCCTGTGGTGCTGTGCCCCCCCTGGGGTAGGCGTCCCAGAAAATCACTAAGGTGAGGGACCCACTGTGCACCTGGTCATGGCACCTACTTGCTTTTTCTGGACTACGCCTCCTGGGCAGGCCTTATGGCTAGCCCTGGGCAATATTTTTGCACTCCAGCCCCTAAGGCCTGTCAGCGTTGTGACACTAGAATATTTATGCACGATTGGCACTTTTTGACTTCACAGAAGACAGAGGGTGCGGGTACCTTCGGGGCCCATTCCTGATGGGAAGGAGATTCTGTGACCCTTATGGGGCCCCCTGTCTCCTCCCATTCGGGGGTCTCCCGTCAGGGGAGCCCCCAGCCTAGTACTCGGTGGACCTGTTTCGGCAGGTCCCAGAGGATCGGGGTCCGCCTGCCTTCGGGTAGGTGGACCGAAGTCGTTCTTGTCCCTGTCAGGAGCCTTGCGCCCTGGGGGAATCAGGAAATTGTGGCCCTTCTCACCAGAGAGGACCAAAGCACCGTCGTGCACGTTTTTGTGTGTAGTGATTTCACTATTCACTTTTTTTTTTTTGTTTGCATGCATCCACGGGCTTAAAAAAAAAAAGGCCCATTTACTGAAGGATCATTGCCATTCAAAAACTAGCGCAGGGTCCCCTTCTGACCCTGATAAAGGCCCCGAAAGCTCTTTTGTAGCCCGTTTCTACAAATCTAGCCCCCCTATGCCTGCCAAAACTTTAGAGAAATAAAGCAAAGCCTTTGGAGGAAAAGCGCTGGCTTCTCTACTTACCTTACGCTATTGCTCTGTGCTGCCAGACGTTTGAGAGAATTTGAGCACCTGGGATCTTGCTGGGAAGACGGTGACATCACTCCTTGCAGTACAGTATTTGCACGGCAGTAATGTGATTTACAGATATTTCCCATAACGTCTTCCAGGACAGCATCACGAGATGGAATCTCCTCCCCCACATACTTAAGGGCTTTGCCTTTGAAGGGGAATGGGGGGTGGATGAGGAGGGTCTCTGGGGGCGGGGGAGTGGACCTTGCTTGATACTATAACAAGCACATAGTGCATACTTGTATATTATGGCTTAGTCCATGTGATCTCTGCAAGGTCTTCTTATATGGCCACATCTAATCAGTGGCATTAATCTAATATGGCTATGCGCCCATAAAAGGTCCGTAATGACACCAGCATCATGTTTACATCAGCTGATTGGGCTGGCTCTGATAGCTTCCTTCTGAGGCCCCGTTCACACCAGGGCGGTTTGGCTGCGCGGATCCGCCAACATGAACATTCTGATAAAGTTCATGCGACCGCGCGGCCTCGAGCGATCCAAACCGCCTCCCGACCATATTGCTTCCTGACCCTATTTTGCCGTGCTGATTAGTGCGGTTTCCATACGGCTTTCAATGGAATTGCGCTCTTCAGCGCAGTTTTGGGTGTTTTTAATTGTGTTTCCACTCCCACAACCTAAATGTCTATTATTCTGTAGTTTAAAATGAGAATTAGGAGGGCTCAATGAACTCTGGAGTACTGCAGGAAGCCTGCGCAGGACAGCTCTCAATTTCAAACTGACAAAGCTTTCAGTTATATACTAAATACAACAAGGAAGTAAATAAGGGAAGTTGGCTGTTCGCGTTTTTGTACATGTTAAATTACAAATTGCTTGCGTTTTATTACTGAACAAAAGTGGTGTTTTCCTTTAAAAACTGGGTGACTGCAGCCTTGCTGGTTATCAGGGCTGTGTGTGGAACAGTAACACAGTCAGTTATAGTTGTTGTCAGCGGAGCGCAGGGCATGGTGTGTATAGGAATGCAGTACAGTTGTCAGCAGGAGTCAGACGTGTACAGATACAGAGCAGGAAGCCAGCTTGGCGGCAAACTGCTCACATTCGAGTTAACCGCTCTCCGCTGATCGGCCGGCCCCTCCGTGACGTCAGCACAAGGGCGCGTCTAGCACAGCGGTTTCTGTCAGCGGATTGGACGGCTTCCGTGGAAGACGGTAGAGGGGGGGGCGTGACGTCATGAACAGAGCGGCTGCTTGGCGGGGGACA